GAGAGAGAGAGAGAGAGAGAGAGAGAGAGAGAGAGAGAGAGGTGTTACAGAAATGAACTATGATTTTCTCAGTGATGCTTAACAGCACTGACCGCTGTGATTTTTCTGGAATGATTTTGACTTGCACATTGGAGTTGCTATATTAAAATAACATTCTTACTGCCCACTAACAGGCAACAGCATTCTGCTAATTCTACTTGACTTCATAATATCTGGATTGTAGGATCCCCCAGGATTTGCTTCCTTCTGATGTGTAACACTTATAACAAACCATCACAAATTATAATCTAGAGATCTGTGATGTGGTGTCAGCACTGTGCTGATTGCAGTGCTGTGTAAATCCTGGAAAGAACAGAGGCATAGATGTTTAAATAAACCCAAGATGAATTTTGAGGAGACAGGGGCATTGTGGTTAGGTGGATTTTAAGTAGTTTAACTGCTTGTAATAAGTAACAAGTGGTCACATTCAATTTAATTGCTCAATTATGATTCTGGATAGGATACATATCTTAATAATCCAAGAATGGGTACTATTATAGAGCTTGTTATGTAGCTCTAATGTTATGGAAGCCTGTTTGGAAGTTTCAGCTTGGACAGAAAACAGTTTAGAGATAATATAGAGCAGCTAGGTGAAATGAATCCTCTATGTATAGCACAATTTTACTTAAATGAACATATCTAGGAATAAAACCTTACATAAAGCTCTAATTAACACAATTATTTATCTTCTATAACAGAGTTTCCCAACCATTTTGGGACCGGAGTGGGGGGAGGGGAAAGGAGATGCTTTCACATGGGCGGCAGGCAAACGTGTGTGCACACAGCTCCATTTGTGAGAATGGTGGGCATGCGCACCTGCTGCTCACAAAATGGAACACATTCATGCACGCCCTTGCCTTCTGCTTGCCTAAGAGAGGATGTGCAGGCGCGGGGTCAACCGCTGCTTCAGGCAACCTGAGTTCAAACAGTTCACGGCTCAGTAGTGTCCTGAGGATTGAGGACACCTGTTCTATAAGGTTTTAGAGAACACACAAGATCCCCAGAAGTGTTTATGATTTATTTTTTTGTAATGAAGAGACATTAATACAAAATAGACAAAACACAATATTGTACCTGTAAGTCTTTATCACTGATGGTCCATCCTGTTCTATCTTCTCCTGCAAAACAATTATTTGGAAACAACTGAAATTGCATTGAGGAACTATAGGAATTGTCTTATTAGTAGAAAGTTAATGAAAGTAAATTACAAAATTTCACAAAACTTTTTTAGATTTTATCTATTTTATCTGCACAGTATCTAATCTGGTGAGGCAGGTGACATACAAATTAATAAATAATAAATAATAATCATAATCATAAGGGACATGCATAAGTGTACCATCGTGCCTCCCGTCCTTGTCCTATTGTCCCCATTTAATCATACTTATTTTCTGTATTCTTACTCATGTTTATACTTATACCTATTATTTTGTAAGTGACTGACAAATCAAATCAAATAAATAAATAAATAAATAATCATAAGCAATGTGTTTTGAGACAATATATAATGTTTTAATACTAAAATAATATTTTAAGTATTTTAATTTATGTAGGAAGATTTCAGGGATTCTTCCATGAGAAGGTTAGTAATGACCCTTTTTTATCACCACAAGTGATGAAGGAATGTTAATGAACTGTATACAAAGAGCAAGATCCGAAAAGTCTTTGGAAGCTTTGGAAACTTGTATAGGCAGTAAATTCTGTTTTAATAGTGCATCAAAAGCTTCACTGCCCCAGAATCCTAATGACAGAATAAAATAAATTTTCCAATGAATGTTCAGTGAGTTTCAAGAGCTATTGAAAATATTTTGTAACATAAAAATAAAACTGGAATATCGATGATCATTTGGATGGTTCTAACATGGGCATGTAGGACAACGTCGTATGTTATTCTACACATTTGACATATTTCTCGTCAATCCTGTATTTGTTTTTTAAGTTAACCTTTCAAAGTAATCATTGTAACTATTTGCTAGCAATCGATATATTTCTCATTAAAGCAACCAGATATACATTAGCTTTCACTTGGTTGATTAATATGCAGTTCTCAAGTTATAAGAAGTTCTTCATCGTTTATAGTATAACATAAATATTTATCTAAAATCTTTATAGATTTCCTTTTGGGACACATAAATAACTAGCAGCATCCAACAAAAGATGAATCCAGTTGAGATATAATGAATGAATAAAAATGTAAGAATCCAGTATAATAAGGAAACACCATGACTCAGGAATTAGTGTTATAAAAACCCTCTTAGAGAAAGGCAGATGGAACAAATGGATTTTCAAGGATATTTGAAAGCTTGTACAAAATGCTCTTTCACAGTGCCAAAGAAAACAGTCTCACATCCAGGAGAACACCAATAAGAAGGCCCTTGACTGGCACTCAAAAAGGGCCTCTATAGTTGATCTTTACAGAAGGATCATACAATTGAAGGCAGTCTTCTGTATATCCCGTTTAAAACTTTAAAAGGAAACGAACACAAGAGAAAACAGTTTTCTATATATCCCCAAATTGTTTAAATCTTTAAAAAGTTAATGTAAGGGTTTTAAAAAGAACTCTGATAACCATATACATTTGGTGCAAAATAGTGTAACATGTTTGGATCTCCTATTCACACAGATACACTGTGCACTAGTATTTTTAAATCATTTTCATAAATGGGTCACATTTAGCCTATATGGGTAATCAAATGTGAATGGTCACTATTTCCCAGACCAGATGCCAAATTACAGATAACGTAGATATTGCCTGTTGTTGCTCCCCAGCAATGGTACCAAAGGATTATTGCCATTCATCCCAAAGATAATAGCGGCATATCGCCAACATAAGTAATAGGCACTTAATTTGCATAATGTTTTAAAATAACAAGTGGATTGAGTTTGCATTAAAAATATGCTATGTGAAAAAGTAGCTTCCTTTGTTATTCTACCTCTGCCACCATTCATCTTCATTAGTGATATTAGTACTAGCACTATAGAATATGAGGCAAAAAATGCCTTACCATTTCCCCCATGGGAAATAGCTATATTAATTTAATTAAAACACATTCAAATCAAGTTCAGATTAAAGTAGTTTTTATCCCACCCCACAGCTTTTCTTAGGCAGTCCCTAGCACAGTCCACAAAGACATAGCCATCAGCTCCAAGATGGCTGCTCCTTCTTTTAAAAACACAGCTACATCTACAAACTACTTAAATTTCTAATTATTCCTATCAAAGTATTGGAATACGCCATGTAACGAAGTTGATTTATCTTTTAAAATGCCATGCCTTAGTCAGCTTTTCTCTGACTGGCCTACAATTTATTTACATTTTTCTTTAAGAATATAAACACAAAAATCTTGTAAATTGTTGTTCATGAACTATAAATTGAAGATATGAACTATAGCTATTATTTCTTTCCATTTTATACTTCTATCATACTTCTATCAAACATTTGCTGATTAATGGAGGGAGTGGGCAGTGGTGTTTGCTTCCCCCGCCCCCAGCAGTTTTACATTGATGAACAATGCTGTTTATAATCAAGCATGGCTTTCCCATCACAGCTATTCAGTTATCTCATATTTTATGACCTGTATTTTATTCTAGATCTCTCTTTGATCTTTGCTGGAATTAATTGTGTAGCTTATAGACCAGTTTTCTAAACAATTAAGTTCATTTCTATCCAAAACGCTATCCTTTAAAGCATTCACAATCAAATTTTACTAGTTTATTTATGAGAATGTCATGTGGAACTGTGTCAAAAGCACTGCTAAATTTGATTACACTGAAGATTATATCTACTGTATTCCCTTTATCCACTAAACTACTTATCTTATAAAGCTCAAGAGATTACTGGCATGTATTTCTTACATTTACATTACCTTACTAGCAACCATTTCTGAATCTTCCTCCCAATCCATTTTGCAAAGTAAAAATAAAATCCATTATGTTAAAATACTTTAAGTGAGTAAAATATTATTGGTTCAAATAGCTTTCTTTATTACTGTTTCCTTTTTTGGCCAAAAAAGAAAAAATTGATAGCATGTCCAGAGTACATGCTTGTACAGTGGTTTAAATAACTGCACTACTGTACTTATCCTGTATTCATTTTTTTAAAAACCCTATTTTATTATATTATAGAGTATAAATAATAACCAAGTACAATTATATTTATATAATATATAATAGAAAATAAAAACTACTAATACCATAATGATTGAATTAAATCATTCAAAAAAATGATGTCAATGTCAAATATGATTTGTGAGATAATGGATAGTTGCTTAAATTCTACAATTAATGCTGAAAATAATTTGCAAACTACACTGAATGATTTTGTATTATTAATATTCTTGTGTTCTGTTTATGCTGTTTGTTATACTACAGTTGTATATTCTCCAAATTTTATCAGATAGTATCCGTATTATATCTTGCATCAGTTCTTGAATGAAACAGGTTGTTAAGCAATTAAGATGCATAAAAATATTTGGGCATTTTTTAAGTAGATGGGACCATGTCTGATAACTTTGTATTTTTATAATTGCTTTTATAATTATTCTTATGAAACATGCCAAAAAAGATTTAGTTAGGATATACTGTATAATCTATTAAGTATACTCAAAACTGCATTCTGAATTGTGCTGTTGAGTCTATGCAAAGCATTGTTAAGAGGACCCTGGCCTGCCACGTAGAGCTCCCTACTTTTAACTCCCTGTGACTTCATGGACATAGCTATGCAGTTTTCTTGGCAACAGAAATGGCTTCCCATTTCCTTCATAGGCTAACTTACAATCCAGTGATTCGCTGGTGGTCTCCCATCTCATCTTCCAGCCTTAGCAGGTTGAAACTGAAACTGGTTTTGATTTTCTGAGATCAGACAAGTTAAGAGCTGGGCAAACTCTAAAAGCTTAGCTTTTTATGTGTAAAAGTTGAAGTATGTTTTAAAAAGATAGGTTCCTGCCTGTTTTACAATATTTGTTTCACATATATCTACTAAGCAGCTAAAAGAAACCAGAGGATGTAATTATTCTAGAATAAAATAATATGGTTTTCTATAACAACATTAATTAATCAATCTAACCAATTCTTCTTTATGGCATATTAGAATTTTAACAAAGATATAGCTAATTAAAAACTGAAGATCTTTATGGATTTGCTTGGTAGTTTTCCCCCCCTAGAAGGACAATATCTGGCTCTTTCTGCACTTACGTGGAATTCAAATAAAACAGTATTTTGTACTAAAAGTATATCTAGATTCAGAACAGTATAGAATACAATTTTGTAATCTGTATATTTTTATATGCGAATCTGTGAGGACGATAAAAGAAAGTGATTTGAGTCTGGGGTTACAAGAGGAAGGTGGGATCAGGAAAAAGAAAGTTTTCTTCTGTAAATTTTTTCTGCTGCATTCTGTTTCAAGGTCAACTTTTTATCCAACACAGTAAATCCATCATCTTTTTAAAAATTTAGTATGAAGATGCAGATCAAGGGTAAATACTATAAAAACCACCGCTGATAGTTATCATTCCCAACTGGTAACTTCTGACATTAATTTCTCTTTTAACAGTATTCAAAGCTCCCTTTAACTCATAAGAATTTGATTAACCATAAAAGAGTTAATCTATAGATGGAATGGATTCTTTGTTAATATCGTGTTTAAAAAAATAACTGAAGAGAGTCATAAATTTCCTACCAAGGATTTAAGTAGTTTCAGGAAAGGCCCATTTAATCATAACTTTACTGTAAGAACCACATATTTCTGAAAATCTCATGTTAGAAACCACAGTATAGAAGATTTTGCAAATTATTTAAAATGTTAATGACAAATTCTACTTTAGGTAGGGTTATTGTGTCTTGCTATTTGTATTGCAGTCTTAAACAATCCATGCAAGAGATCACTTAAGTTAAAAATTTGAAATGAAACAGAACATTCATTTCAAGTGTTAATTTAATATTGATAGAACAGCTACTAATTACAACAAGGAACATTTTTTAAAAACAATCTTATGCTGCCTGATGAGTATATTTTTGAGGGCTATAACAGAGGAAGGTTAGAATTTAATCTCTATTCAGAAAATAATATTACTTAATCCAAACATACATGAATTATAATTTATTCCAAATGAAGACATAT